GGGTGTCCCCATGGGACAAGAGGAATGGGATTGGAACAAGTTAGATAACGTTGAGTAGCACCTTGAGCCCTCCAACACATCTTTCTCATCCACCTATGGCTCCCTGCGCTACGCACAAGGCTTCACCCTTCCCGTTTTCCCTCCCTGTAGCTCATACCCAGCTCCTTGCCCTCCCAGACCCCGTTCCTTCTCAGATCTTTCTCTTCCCAGCTTCCAATTCCCTCCACCCACACCTTGCAGTCTCTCATTGCAAACAAGTTTGACTTCACCTTCTCCAGCATTCTGTCACTCTGCTCCTACCCTGCCTCTTTTCTCATTCCTTTGCTTAGCAATCCCAAATCTTACCTGTTTCTTCTTTAATTCATATCTCTCTGCCCCACTGCACCCATCCCATGTTCCTTGTGCAGCCAGCCACAGCCTCCTTCCACTTTCTCCTAATCGTTGTCACGTCAGGCTCCTGTTCCTATACGCTTTCTTCAGACGTGTAGACGTGGTGCTTAGGGACATGGTTTAGTGGTGGACTTGGAAGTGTTAGGTTTAAGGTTGGACTCGATGATCTTAAAGGTCTTTTCCAACCCCAATGATTCTATGTGGCTTCAACCATCGCCAAGCAGCAACAGAAGGATCACTGGGTGCACAGTCCCACCCCACAGGAGCTGGAAGCAGCACTTACACAAGCTTCAGCTTGTCCCTACGTATCTCAACCGATACATGCTCCCTGGGCGGGGGGGGGGATGCAAACAGCCCGGCTGGCTCTAGCAGCAGCAAAATGAGAATATTCAACCACCGTGGACATCAGGCCACCTCTGGCTACGTATCTGCTGTGCAGATGGAAATTGACTGCTCCGCTTCCCCCCGAGATTTATAGTTTGGTCAAATTTAGTCAGATTATCGGCAGCAGAGCCCTAACACAAAGACTACCTTCCAAATTTCAAGTTCGTAATGCAAAACATGAGTTACCAGAGCTTGTTAAAGAACACGCTGGCAGTTGTAACCATGGACAAGACATGTTCACGACCTAGTCTCACCCTAGAAATGGCCAATGGTTCTCCCTGAAACTTTAAAAACACCAACCCTGGAAAATGACATTCGCTGAGACAACTATGCCTTGGAATAGTACACTACTCTTAAAAAAAAAAAAAAAAAAAAAACCAACCCTCAAAATTCAAAGTTAAAAAGTTACATACTAGGCCCTGTCACCTCTACTCTCCTCTCCCCGCTACTGAAGAAAGCAACCATAGCAGGGAGGCAACCAAATGCCTATTTAAAAAACAAAAACAGCAACCACCACCATCCCTCACCTGGTTTTGGGTTTCAGAAGCATGAAACATGAAAGTACCTTAAATTTCAGAATCATCTACCTGAAATCAGTGCCACAATTTGAACAATCTTATTGGTTTGCAGAGAATATTAAAAAGGGAAAAAAGAAAAACAAAAAGCTCAGACCTGGGGTGGTCTTGCAAGAATAATTAAAAAAATATAAATAAAAATTAAGAGGTTTTGATTAATTGCTCTTTTTAACATCTTACAACTCAGGGTGCAAGAACTGCAGATGCAAAGAACAGGAACTCTGTTCTATATATACCGAGCACTGAGATTCTCAGTTTCCTATAACATTGCTTGTGGGATATTTCTTAACGCAATAAAAATAAACACAGTTAAATTGTGATTGACAGTCTATCACTCTTTACTACAGCATGAAGTACTATAGTAGTACAATAGGTTACTGCTACATAAAGTACTATATGATGTTATTTTGACATCCGATGTAATTTTATTTACAGTTTTACAAATCAGAGAAGAAAAATCACCAGTACTTGTCCCCTTTAGGGAATTCTTGCATTTATTCCTTTACTCTGTTGTTATTATTATTAGTGAAAGAAATTGAGCTCTACGTGGTTACAGGGACCTAACTGCATTAAGCCAATTGCAGGAACAGGACCTATGGTTTTGATCATATTTTCCAGGCAGTTAAGACCACATTCATTTTAAACAAAAAATGCTTCAGCAGTCAAAAAGAGTTTCTGCGGTTTCCTGAGCTCTTTACCAGTCGATATAATCACAAGATTTATAAAACTGTGCTTACTAAAATTAATCTCAAAAATCAATAAATAAATGTGGGTTAAATACCACAAAGGAAAATAGCCCATAAATGGACTGTACAGTCATGCTTCTTATAAGAACAGTACACACGCTACACAGCAGCAGAGAGAAAAACAGGCTGACTTAAAATACATCAAATCCTTTTTTTCTTCATACTTTACCCAAGTGATGGGGAAAAAAAAGAATCCTGCTGTAATAGCTAAAATTTGATAAATACTGGCAGTGAATAAGAGTTTCATTCCAGTTGTGTAACTGACGCTAGATGTTCACATTTTACAGAAATACCTATACTGCTTTCCTGCCTCCATCCATTTTGCTGCCCTATAATACCCTCTCAGCTGCTAGAGGATGTGTTGTTAATATTTAAGAAAGTATGAGACTAATTTCTTTCTTTATACTGTAGTTTTTGAATAGTAACTTGGTCATTCGTACCTGGAAACATCCATTTAAATAATTCAAAAATATGGGTGAGGGGAAGTGATTTATCAGTATGATTTTGAATCCTTTTTCCACAAAGTGGGGCACTAACTACACTTACTCCCCATCATGGGATCTGTGGGAACCCACCACCAAATATCCATTCCCCAACATTTCACAAGAGAAGATGCAATGCTCACATTTGTATTTTAATATCCACATCCCTCTGTAAAGTTCAAGAATGCCATAGATAAAGAAGGTACCTTTATTTTTTGAAGTATAACAGAAAGTGGTTTCTCTATAGATAAGGAATCCTTTCTATAAGGAATACTTAAGAGTTGGTATCACATTCAACTCTCTTGTCTATATCATAGTTTATTTAGGTGACTTTCGGAACGCACAGTTGAAGTTTTGAACAAGGGGAGACCTCGCTTTCTCCTTCGCTGCATCCAATCCATCCACATGACACCAAGATTAAGAGCAGGGGGCAAGAAAAAGCCTTCAAATTCAGTAAGAAAAGCACTGCAAGGGTGGAAAAGCATTCTGCTTAGCCTCCAAGTTTGCTCTCTCCTTCGGCATGAAACAAGCCCCCATCCATCAAAGACTGGAAAAAAGGGTAAGAGAAAGAATAGTAAGGAAAAGAGGAGCACAGGAGGAAGAATGGGGGTTATTCCACATCTATTCTCTGCAGTGTCCTAGCACTCCATCGGCTTTTGACAGTAGAAGTTCCCATTTTCACAGGTTTTTCTGCAGTAGGGCTGGCAGGAGAAGTTCACATAGACAGGCCTGCAGGCTCAGGCACTTCACAGCCACCTCTCACTATTTAGCTAAGAAGCAAAACTAGCAAAACTCTGGCCACATAACGCTATTAATGAATGGATGCTTCTCACCAGACATTATGGAGTGGGAAAACACAACCACAGAGTAAAAGAAAGAAGCAGTTAGTGAAAATCTGAATTAAAATCAAAGATTAAATTGAGAAGAAGATGGAAAACGCAAAGGCAGGACTGAGAAAATCAGTGCAGGGTAAAAGGAACAAGGTGGGGTTTGGTTTTGGTTTGTTTTTATTAAAATGGAAGTAGTACACTAATATCCACATTGCACAGAAAACACTACAACTATATTGGCAGGGTTAGCCGCAAAGACAAGAATAAATTGGACAAGAAAACTTGATTTATGTTTTTACTCCACAGCTGGATCCTCATTACCAATTTTAGGGAAGTCTTCCACTTTTACTTATCCAGTAAGGAATTTATTGAAAGACCATGTGTAAAGCCTTAAAAATGAATGAAGAATGATGGGGGAAGAGACTGAGGCAGGAGTGAAATCTTGTCTGCTGTACTCTAACCCTCAACATGCTCAATTAAGAGAGAAGTTAAATGACTTTGTGATATGGAACCCAAAAATACACATCACACATGTACATGTACGGTGCGTATGTATAGGTTCAAGGCACAAAAAGGTGAGGCAGAAGAAAGCTTCAGGGAAATGCTGTTTCAGTCATCTGCATGGCTACTATAGGTGCTCCTCCTAAAAGCTGCTTCCTAAAAGGTACTCCCAGGAAATTGCATATAAACATCACCTCTTCTTGCTTTCTACATACAGAGCTATAGCAAATAATCTGAAATTTCAGAGAGTAAATATGGTAAGTCTCTACCGCTTGGCACCAAGAAAAAATGCCAGTTCCCTCCAAAACAGGCTGGAAATTTCCCTGGGAGAAGAGTTCTGTTTAGATACCTTGACACTTGCTTCCAGACTTTCATATTTCATTAATTTCACACAACCCCAAAAGAGAGTTTCCATGTCCCAGTCAAAAAATTAAATAAAATCAGTGCAGACATCTTCTGCATTATCATAGCTTTAGAAGCTAGGAAACTAGAACATAATTGTCCAAGGGATTCTCCAGCACAGATGGTCAAGGCCCATCAAAGTTAGTCAAAATTTGGATTATATTATACAGACAACATAAAATAGATATTAATCTAGCAGAAAGACAGAAAAAGAAATGCCAAGTAAGGAAATAACATTCCGTCTGGAAAATAAAACTCCAACTAAAAGCTCCTCTCAGCTGCATCAAACTGGTTAAGCAAAGTTTTTCAAGAGAAATAAAAAAGGTTTTCTGTTTTTCTCTCTCTTCTAGCCCCCTCCACTTCCATGACAAACACTCAGCATCTTTGAGGCAGCCTGCCTGGCTCTTACTACGTTACTCTGTAACAGGAAACACCAAAAAAAGACAGAAAAAGAGGTATATGCAGCATCTCCTCTACAAGAGGGAGCGCGTTTGTTCACTTCACTCGGGCAAGTTTTGAAATGGCTCTTCTAACTTCAGGTTACTAGTCCTTATGGAATATATGCCATCAAATTTGGATGAACACACACAGCCTCTGCTGAGGAAACAGATATACAGATGTATCTTTATAAAAATAAATATTTAAACGATTTTTAGAGCTGAAGAATTATTTACCAAAACAACAACTCACCACTTCATGAATGGATCGGTTGAAGCCATCATCCTCTGTAAGGATCAGCAAAATGATAAGAGCCATGTAAACATGGTGTGAATTCCTTTCTTCAACGTGGTACAGAATTTCAAGAATTGGCAGAACCTTTAGGGAAGGAAGAAACGTGTGCATTAGTTTAGTCTTCAAATACCTCAGACAATAAACAGAGGGAACTCTAAAGCTCCCGTGCATCACCCTGCCCTTAACAGTATCATAGCAATTCCTCCCTCTTGAAATAACCACCCCTAAATAGTGACGTACAGTGTTCAAACACCTTCCATCTGTTTCATTCTGTCTCCACAAGAGAGTCTAAACAAATTCTTTCTTGTGGTCAGACATGGAATTTCAATTTCTAATAAATGAGATTTCCAGCCATACCAGTTACCATAGGCTCTGAAAGCTTTAGTTCCCCTCTAGACTATGGGAAAATAAATTGTTAAACAAGATTTTCACCAGTTCAAGAAGGAAAACAATTGTTTCTAACCATTTGTGCTACCACAAGCCTGGTCTGAAAGGGCTTTCCTCATCAAATACAGCCAAGCATATCGGAGCTGAGGTGCACAGAGGCATTTTGAGACCTGAAACTCAAACCCCATTTTGGTGTGTGGAGGTAATCCCAGAAAAGAACCAGTTTGGGTTGAGTTAAGACTAGAAAAGGCCTGTTTTTCCAATTCTAGATAATATGCAGCCAAAGAGAACTGACATTATGATGAGAGTTCAGCCCAAGGTCTTGCAACATTTCCACCAGGATGAACAGCTTAAGCCAAAGTCTTGCAATAATAATGAAAATGAGATTTCATTGCAACAGCAAGCATACCTGAATGCTAGTCTAAAGTTAATCCAGATGCAAACGTTGTCTCTCTACCAACTGAAAATTAGCTTTCCACTGGCTCAGTATAACGTGGCTTCCCCGGGCTGCAGAAATAGGCCTAAATCGCAAAATACCCTGGAAAAAGGAACTGGAGAAAACTCTCAATTCCAAGATAGCGGATGAGATGCAGAATTCATTCCAAGAAGCTTCTAGACACCTAAAGACTAGCTGTTTTTCAAAACAGGCCGAGTGCAGCAGGATGAATCATGTGAAACCTATTCTGGTGAGCGGCCAGGACACCGAGTGCTTCACAAGCCTCTGAAGTTACCAGAATGTTCTCTTACAAGCAACCAGTCCCAAAACAGTTGGAACATATTAAAACACACAACAGTTTCTATTAAAACCAATGAGATTGATTCATTAAAACCAATGATTGATTGCTGCCAGCCACAAAACCTTTTGACAGACGCTTTGGCCAGGGTCAAGACAATACGACAACAAAAGCAGAGGGAAAAAATATTTACTCATTGCAAAAATCCTTCCTTTACCATTTCAAAGGATCCCTCACAAACCTCTCTCCCCAGCTGGAACTGGAGTCGATGTCTTTGTGTTTTGTGAATATAGGTCTTGAGAGTAAAGACCAGGTTTTCCCTAAAATATCTACGTAGCATATAGCAAAAAAACATTAGTCCTTTTCCTTGGATGGTGGAAAAGGGAGACAAACATCACTGCATTAGTCCACTGTTCAAATTATTTCCATCTCCAATATTTATATTGCATGTAGCTTTGCATTGCATAAGCTCAAAGTGATTTCCAAGTACTGTGATAAGCTGCATATAGCAGGAAGCAATATAAAGCTACTGAAGAATTGCATTTACAACTTGACTTTGCAGGGAGAACAACAAAAGCCTTTCTGAAGGTAACCAGTGGAACAACTGGACATTAGGAAAAACTTCTTTACTGAAAGAGTGGTCAGGCCTTGGAACAGGCTGCCCAGGGAAGTGGTGGAGTCACCGTCCCTGGAAGTATTTAAAAGACGTGTAGATGAGGCGCTTAGGGACATGGTTTAGTGGGCATGGTGGTGTTGGGTTGACGGTTGGACTCAATGATCTTAGAAGTCTTTTCCAACCTTAATGATTCTATGATTGTATGATTCTAACTTCTTAGTTTTTAAGATAGCTCCCAAATAGCTGTGTCTGTTAATTTTTACAGCTACTCAAAATTGAATATACTGCCTTATAAAGTACGCGCCTTGCACTCCTTCAATGTAACTGTGATCCCGTCTGGTTAGTGCTAAATAATACCATACAAAGTACCCTGGCGAAACATATTCCTTCAGAACAGCCCAACGTATCTCCTCTGTCTATGCACATTAATATTAGGTTAAACTGTAGCTGAAAAAGTGCATTTGTATTCCTTAAATGCTCCAAGTCCTAAAAGTGTGTTGCTACAAACTACATTAAAAAAGCATACCTTGATTCTGACATTGAGACATTATAGACATTTCCATATGAGCTGATACATGAAAGTACTCTTACTAAAATTTCATACTAGCTACTGAAATCCCTCTCACTCTGAAGAATGATCTGGCTCTCCAGATCACTGCAGTCAGTCCTCCTGCCCCAAACACACCTCGAAAGCTTTCGAAACCCCTTCCCATCTCCACTCCCCTGGCCACATTTTCCTTTCCACTCCTCTTTCAGACTTCTCTCCATCTACATACCAGACCAAACTCAAGGAGGCAAATGGCAACTTACCTCTCTCTACCTGCCATTTCCAGATGAAAACTGATTAAATTCATACAGTTTCTATCACCCTTCCTCCTCTGAACACTTTTCCTTTGTATACTGATTGCTGAGGTACACACACCTTTAGGACAAGTATTACTGTCCTCAGAACAAAAACTATTTGACTAGCCACCACTTAAATAAAAAAGAGTTAAGATATAAGACTAAATTAAAATTTTAATTATGTTAAAATTTATCTAGAATTGTAACCAAAATGCACTTCTACACTTTTATGTTACGCACATACATTAAAACTTTTATATCCATCTTTTTATGCACTGGCATTGCCCAGCCACATACTGAGAGGACAATAACTGCTTCTTTTTGTATTGCTGGCCCTTTTATTCACAGTCATTAAACTATCATTACTGGACTACTAACACTCCTCCATCAGGAACAGCTTTTACCTGGCAAGACACGGCCACCATTAAAAAGTTACTTTTAATCCCCAAAACAAGGGGCAGGTAAAGATAGGCACTGAAAAGTGCAGGTGCTATATTCGGTCCAAGGTCAGGAACAGTTTCCCCAGCACAGAGTTTTAAAATAGCTTGTCTTTAGTATACAACAAAATACAAGACCGCATAGCCACACGAGTAACCTGCTTAAGCCAAATTTATACCACAGGAAAAAATACTGCTGTACCATCAGTTAAAATAAATACATCATCACATACATTATTTCAGTCCAGACATGTTAAGAACAACAAAATGTACAGCGTACAGTAGTGCTGCGCAGCTCAGCAGCCAAAGCAAACACATTCAACAGAAATAGCTTATTTCTTACAAGCAGATACCTCACTGGCAGTTTTACCTGCAGTATGGGTGTTAACTGCTCTTACAAACAGAAGGCGGCTCAACATTCTCCCATCCACAGACCACGACACTATGCTTATGAAAAAATTTGCTAATTGACCCCTATTTCACCACTTTCTGGAGATTTCTTGCAAGTACTTTCAATAAAATAGCCAAATTCCAGATGTGAACATCTCTAACAGCATCAGATGTTTAACCCAATTATTTTATAAAATTATACAAAGTGACATGCTGTAAGATACGGAAGACATACAAACATCCTATTCATTCCACAAAGCAGACTGTTATTGTAAGAGCAAAAAAGATGCATTGCCTTGCTAATGATAAAGCATTATAAAGCACAACAGAAAATGAAGATATTTATAGATAACTGACAGAGGTAGATTCAGACACAAATGAGGAAGCAAGCTGAGACATTATCTACTACAACAGTTAACAAAAACACACTGAATCTATTTACAAATTAAACTGAAGTTACAAAAGAGCAAAGACACATTTCAAAAACCCCTAGGAAATGTCACAGAACATCTGCTAGTAATGCTTCCTGGGCACCAAAACCGGGAAATATTAAAATAGGGGAAAACACAGCAAATGTGATGCACTGAGTGCAGTGAAACAGGAACAACCTGCAAAACCCCTAAAACTGTAAGATGAGCACTCAGCTGACTGCTGACCTGATCTCTCATATAGCACAGACTCTTACACTTCACCCAACTGCCTCTGTGTGAAGAGGCCACTAACTTATGCCATGTTCCTCCAAAAAGTCATCCACCCTTATTCAAAGATATCCATAGATATCCACTGTTTTGCCTCTGAATTAATTACCTTAACTACTTTGCTCCCATATCTCTAAGTTGTGGGATTCAACCTCCAGGCTTTAGTTCTTATCACACCCCTCTGCAAGCGAAGAGTCCTTTCTGTTCAAGGCTTTCCCCTTGTGAAGGCATGTACGCATCCTGATCCTTCTCAAGCTCTTTTCTGACCAACTGAGTAGTCAGCTTTCTAAGCGTCTCACAGTTTTGTTGTTAATTTTAAAGCAAAAAAAAAAAAATGTTTCTCTACACTCTCTCCATTTTTCAATAGCCTGTAAACATTTTATTAAGTATGGTAGTACACCACCAGAATAGTATGCAGCATGTTAGCACCACTCTTGCAGTTGCCATATAGGGAAGGAAATAACCAGCTCTGTTACTCCTGCCCCTTCGTCTCATTTACAAGCCCAAGACTGAATTAGCCTTTTTCACCACAGGGTTGTAATTAGGAGATCGTGATTTCTTTGTCCAGTAACCCTCCCACCCCCAATCTTTTCTGTGTCTGGCTCAGCCTGCATTACTAAGCAATTAAAACTGCTCCTCTCAGCTGGCTGCTGCTCATCCTTACCTGCCAGCCTGCTAAAAAACAAGAGGATTGGGCAAAGATGTCAGTAATGTGTCAGTAGCGATCACAAAAAGCAACAGCATGCATGAAGAGTAAAATGAGAGCAGACCATTTCAAATTTTGGTATTAAAAAAAATAAATCAAACATGCTTTTCAGAACATCAGTAAAATCAAATAAATCAAACAGGCTTTTCAGTGACGCTTTTCTCAATTTTCTTAGCTTTTCCCACAAAGTGTTTAATGTTGCTGATTATTTCTGTGATTCTGGGATTTTCTGATGTTTTGTTTTTTTTTTTTGAGGGGGAGGAAAGATAGGTGATAATATATGAAAGTATCCCACATTGCAGAGCATCTGAGTACCTGCATCTGGAGTTGTTCTGACACATGCACCTCATGCTTTTTCTGGAAGTTTTACAATATATCAGACATCATAATTATAAAACAATGCACACACCTAACCTTTATTTCTCTAAAGATAAACTGATATAGTTAGCAGCTGTGAAACATGTCATATCACATACCAACAGCCCAGAAAATTAAATATGACCATTTGTTCACAGAATTCATGCAAAATGACTCAGCCCTCACCTAGCTAATCCGCAGCGGACTACACAGTAGTTCAGTCTTGAATCAATTCAATATCAACCATCTCAACCGAGTTTGCCAACAGTGGCGTCTATCAACTCTGATTTTAGCAATACATCTGCTAGAACTTGGACCGAGACCAAACTCATTCCATATCTGCCATCAAACAGGCAAGGGATCTAATTATCTGGCAAGATTTCAAATGTTAAAATGGAAAGGGTTTTCTATTCCGTTACCAATTCCCCTAGACAGCCATTACCTTATTAAAGGAATACTTTTTAATAAGTAAGATTTGTTAAAGTGGTTTGTGACATTACTAAACGTAGTGGGGCGCATAAGCTAATTTACAACCTGCAAAAACTGCACCAGGTGTCTGTTATATTGGTTATTAATCACAATCCTATTTAAAGCAGCTAAAAAGTTACTACAGTTGCATTTCTAGAAAATCTGTCAGCTGCTCCTTGAGGAGTTTCAGCTTCAGGTCAACCCCGTAAGACATTTGGCATATCAGTCAAGTTACAGCTCATTTTGTTAACTATTATCCCTATACGCACACAGTAAGCTTGTGTAACTTTTTGGCCTGAATATCTAAAAAAGAAAAATAAAATAATGAATAGAATGATATCTGCTACCAATTTCTCTACACCATGCCCAGAGGTCAGCAAGTTTGACTTGCATCAGACAGTGGCATTGAGAAAGAGGGTATCAGAGACAGCCTGGTAGCTTTATCAGTACTATCTTTTACTGCAGTGATATTTTTAGCATCACACTCCTGAGATGACAAAATAAAAGTGATTAAACGAGCCAGAACTGGTGAATAAGTGAGCCAGAACCTACTGCCCCCACCGCAGAACAGGGGACACTGGCAGCTGGTTACACGCAAGCTTCCAGGACCCCTCGTGATGAATATAAGGCAAGCAGAGCAATACTTACAAGATTTTCTATGTCCGTTCGTGCCAACACATACGTCCGTACATTGCTGTTTTGATGCAGAAGCATGTATAAAAGAAGAGTCGCTTGATCAGATTTCTGCTGCTCACACAAAGCTGTGTATAAACTGTTAAAATTAATCTGGAAAGCATGCGGATTTGATGATGAAAAAGCAGTGTTATCTGAAACAAAGAAATTAAAAAAAACAATCTTTAAGAAATACATTTACCATCCAGCTATTTGTTAACTTTATAAATGATCTCTCCGTGAAATACTTTATACGGACACCACAGTAAGGAGGAAACAAAAATCATCCATGACTCTTATCAACAATGGTCATAAACCTTCATAGGGTCTCATGAAGCTTCAGTTGTGCCAAAAAGCTGAGGTTGTCCTCTCACATGAACTCCAGTAAGACCCCTGCATCTGAACAAGACACTCATTTTTTTTTCTTAAAGCTATTCTGTTTGTCCAAATGGCTTCCGCTGTTAGAAAGGAAGGCAATCCCAGGAGCTGCTGCAAGGAGGGCAGCTACAGTGTCTTCTCTGGAACCGATGTACTGATGATTCATGTGTTTCCAAACCCTGCACCCCAAACTCCCAGGTTTAGTTCACTGGCATCAAGGTGGAGTATCTCCTATCCATTTCTTGGCATGAAGGGCAGATGCGCATATGTCAAGACTATCAGTACAGGTGTTGTCAGGACTTTAAAGATGCATGTGTGGTGGGGAGTTTAGTGGGTTAATTCAAGTGATTTAAAACACCACATCATATAGTCTAACATGCCTCAAAGTAACAGCAGTTTGTTCATGTTCACAATATAATCTGTGCCAGAGCTGGAAGTGAGAATAAAACAGATTTTTGTTCACAGAACCTTTTCACAAGAAGCTTTACCAGCTTCAACAAAAACATCCATCAGCACAGATCTCTAACATCCAGGAATTTCCAGCGGAAATGGAAAAAGCAAGTGTGACAGTCAAGGCACTCATACTCATGTCAGAAAGCCAGATTCATGGCCTTACTCAGCCTCCAGATCTCCCCAAGTCAGAGATTTTGCTTTTCGTTTCTTTACAAAAAACCTTTGAGAGTGCAAGGTTTTGTTTCAGTGCGGAGCAGGTACATTTCTCAACTCTCAAAAAGCTTTTTGAAAGAAATTTGTATAAAGTATTCGCCTGTCCAGCTCTGTTCAAAAACAACCATTCAAAGCATGCATCTTCTGTGACGACACATGAAGTAGGACGAGTCTGCCTTTCTGAGCTGATTTATTTCACTATCCTGGCAACTGAATACAAAGGCTATCTTTGCTGAGCACATAAACAAGCTATGCATATGGAAAAATTACAGCAATTTCATGGCAAGAGGATATTCTGGGAACAACAGCAGTTTGGATACTCAGGTATACTAAAGGTCTGGACTTTAAAATTTCCGTATTACTATAAAAAAGATGTCCAAAGTTGAAGAATTTAACTAAAATTCCTTTGTTCCCACAATAACAGACTACAGATTTCTGAACTGTTTATCGTTTATTAAAAATGCATTAACTTAGGAAAGCTCTGCTGTATAAAACAGTGTGACAATACTACTACTCCTGCACAGTGATTTGTGGACAGAAGGGATTTTTAAGGAGAGGAAGAAAAGACTCAGAACGATAAAGGAAAAAAAACGAATGCAAATTTCAAACCCTGCTTTTTTACAAGTCATTTTACAAGCAAGTGGTATTACGACAGCCGGCATGCTAGGCAGCAACAATTGCACTTCATCCAAATCTTCCTTTTTCCTCAAATCCCAAAAGATTTCTCAGATATTATAGACAGCATCACCATGGAAAACGGTGCGAACAGTGTCACCACATGTGTGCCCATGGGAAGCAACCGTGAGCCAACACAAATTTGGCTCTTAAATGAGTATTCCCATGGTTTCCTACCAAGCTTTTCCACTCTTTGGAGAAATCTCTATACTGGTAGGGACTGATCACACAAACACTCCCGACACCCACTGCGATGTGGGTGTCTCGCTTTCCCCTTTCTTTTTAGCCCGTATTCTTAGCGAAGTTTCAAAATAGCTTTCAGTATGGAAGAACGTGGTAGTTGTCACTTATTTTGAACATCATCTCCACCCTCTTTGGAAGGAAAAAGTGCTTGGAAGACCTGCAAGAGCCCCACAGGAGCCCTGGCTCCCACCGGGTTTCTGGGGACCCGGCGGAGACGGCGTGCCGGGGAGCTGCTGCTTCTCTTGGCCTGGGCGAGGGGCGACGGCTCCAGCCATTCAGCTGAACTCAGCAGGAGGCACTGGAGCAAACGCTTCTCCTTTCTGCAGGAGTCGGGAGGCACTGCCGCACACAGAGAGGCGAGACGCAGCCCATCGGCGATGGAAACCCTGCCGCTCCCCAAAACGACGTACCAACAGGCAGAGGAGAGACCGAAGACTGGCTTTTCTGAACTACCGTTTCCGCTCCCATGCCCCCTTCAATCACTGACTGTGATTATGGACCGATTGGTTTAAAAACATCATGCTTCAGGCGGGTGTTTCTCTTTACTAGGGAAAATTTGGATGTAGACAGCAAAATCAGATCAATTCAACACACTCTATTAAGCGGCAACCTGATGCCACAGTTCCTTAGCTGAGGAGTGTCCACTGACTTTCAAGCTTCGCTTCTGTGGATGTTTAAACTGTGCCACTTATATTTATAGCACTTCACTATCAGTTTTATCAAAGGATATTTAAAAAACTGTAAAAAAAAAAATCTAAACAGTATTAAAGAAACTTATCAGCAACAGCAGCATATCCTGTATTATTCTACAGAACATTAAACTGACCAACCGAAAAATTAAACTATTCTAGACCACATAGAATAAAGAAAACTATCCTGAATTTTATTAGTTCTGTCCCAATTAAATGATATAAATTACTTCAACAAAAAGGCCAGTTTTCATTTTATAGTCACATACTATAGATCATTATAACAGTAACAGCCTTTCTTTTTCGTATCATTCTCCTCTTACCAGCCCCTCAGAATGTTCACAGGAATCAAATTTAAGCTCAGTTATATGAATATTGCCAGTGGAAACAAGTTTATGGGAAACAATAAGTCACTCTATAAAGTACACACCTAGAGAAAATATGGCTTTTCATGCTACTTTTGACATAGAATAAGTTCTTTTAAAATTTTACGATGATACATGTGTAACGGTTTTCAAAGAAATACATTACTAGTTATTGATGACATTAAACAAAGTTAACCAAAATAGAGCATTCTCAAGTTCTCAGTTAGTTTTAAAAACCCCCAAAACTGTATCAAGAATTTGATTTCAATTGCCAGTAAACAGTATCCAATAAATCAAAGGGGCACATTAGGACTAAGAATTCTTGAGGAGAACAACCCTCCATCCTAATATCCAAAAAAAATCTCCTAGGTAAAGGTGAATGAATTTACAGCTCAACCTGCTAAAAACTTAATGGTTAAAGGAATATAAAAACTCCCCCCGAATAAAGTGAGTAACTCAGGGGTATTGATGTGGCTTCACAGGTTATCATGCAGCTGCTGAGTGGTGCTGAGTAGTTCTGTGCATGCTGCAACCTGCATAAAGCCAACGAAAGGTAAAACTCAATGGCTAAAACTTGAAGAGATTTAAGTGTATGGATGAAGCATATATGAAAACAAGTACACTGCCTGCAAGCTGTGTTAGGGCATTACTGTGTCCCAGGCAAGACCCTCTGCAGCAGGGCACTGTCAGTACAGCACCGCACCTGCAGTTACCTGATACATGGACTGGAACCAGCCTTCTCAAAAACCAGGCAAGCACTGAAACAATTCTGAAACTTGTATACAAGTCTCATGAAAGTGTTTACATTAACCAGCTTCTCCTCATATTTGCAATATAAAAATACAGTTCGCAAATCAATCTAGTTAGCAATTCAATTGCTTCTTTTAGCTCCAAGGAATATGACTGCAGCTAAACAGAATTTCCAAAGTGCTACAAAGTTTTAGGGGACTCCTGCAGACTCTTGGATAACCGACCTACTTATAGGTCAGTTTTATTTATATTTTATGAAATGATGAAGCTTTCTAAAATTTATCAAGTCTGAAGGAAAGATTATCCTTCTCCCCCTGCCCCTTCAATTAAGTTCCAGCAGCTGAGGAACTCCACCACAAAACTCCCAGAAGAAAATGTACTATTACTGCTCTTCCACAGGCTAGCTGGCGGGAAAACAAGTTTTGGAAAGAGAACCTCTAAGTAGTCACAGCAACTTAACACTTCATTTTCATCAGTTCACGCTTAGAAGTAAGAACAGATACAAACCTTGCGTGTTCTTGAAGGACATAATAGCTTGCCTGTAGGGATTCGGTGTATCTGGAGCGTCGGTCAAATTAGCTAAGACCAGCAGAAGCAGCAGACTCTGGTTAGCAAGAGGGGAACACTGCTCCAGCTGCGGCGTTGGTTTACTCCCCACCCCACCTAGCGTGAAGACCGTCCACAGGCCAGCTAGAGAGAAAAGGCAAAAAATATTATGTTTGTTCACATTTTAATGAACAAACCTCCTTTAGAGGAAAAGATAGCGTCTGACACGCAGGTAGAGAGAAGAGGGAAAAACAGTTCACCCTGGGTCTGGCTACTTGATTTCTCAAAACGAAAATTTCAGGAGTCACACAGCAGTAGGCATGGAGAGGTGAGAATTGAAAGATTACTGGAAATTCAAGAAAATTAAGTCATAGGAATATATGAAAAGGAAATTAGGAGAGGTGAAACAAAAGCATGTGTTTGAAGAAGAGAACCTTAAACACAGAGCAGATACCAGCTGAAGGATTCATGCAGTAATGCTAATCATGCTAGCATATTAAGAGAGGAAAAGGAGCTTGTATGTTGCCTTTTTAATAAAACCGACTTGGTCCATCATGAAGCATTTTTCTCATGTATTCTATTTTTAATAAACTCAGCACATTTTAGGCAAAACACAGTAACAAAAACTAATACTGCTTAAACTAGAATCTCCACATTGAGAGTCCTGTAGAGATCATCATCATTGCTCATTATTGTGGGTAGACAACATAGTAGAAAATAATAAACTTCTTGGAAAAAAAGACAGGATCAACAGCAATTTAAATTTAAATTTTAAGGTATTATTAAACTCAGCCTCATATTTTTGCATTCCTACAGAAGATGAAACAACTTGAAAAAGCACTCCAGTTGGAAGTACTTACACTGCTCTGAAATTCCTTTTTAAGAGATTGCATGTAAGATGTAAAGGTATGGAAGTACAAACTGTTTACAATAATTAGAAGTTAAAAAGAAATAAAAGTTTGAAGTGACAAATCACTATTGATATTGTCAAAAAACCCAAACTGACTGATTCCTCTTGGGTAAGCAAGTTTTTGTTGTCTCACAACTGCCTCGAAAATACACATGTAACAAAGCACCAAAACTTCATTCATTTTAGACCCGCAAAAATTTATTGGGTACAAAAATGTAAATAGCTCACCCTTCCACACCAACTCTCAGTTCTTTGCTCACTAACTATAGTAAGAATGCATGTTAGAATACCCTCCCCTTTATGTAGGTGCATATATATAGTGCATGTACAGTTCCAGTATTAAGGCTGCACCTGAAGGCTGCTCATTAAAACTCTCATTACCATACTGTTTAAACTTTGATGTTTGAGCCTGAAATGCAGAGTCATTTTCATACTTAATCCTTACAGCATTAAAAAAATTAACTCCAATACTAAACTCCTGCATTTGAAATTCCTGTTCCTAATTACAGCAGTGTTGGTGAACCAAGCTGACCAGCTACGTGCCCAAATACTGATTAAAAGGAGACTGGAAGGGAAAAGGGGCAGCAGGGGAGGATTAGAGGACTGCCCCCAGCAAGTCCATAAATCCTTATTTCCTTGCCAGCACTCATGAGACTGTATTACACTGGGGAAAAAAGAAGAAAAGCACCAAAGCTGAAGCAGAGACACTGCAGACTCAGCATTACTGGAGAAAAAATCAGGGGAAAGGATGAAACTTGCCCCCCCATGGCTATGGTGACACATGACAACTGCAGTGTCACTGGGCCTCTACCTTTATCACATCTGGGCTCCTGATAGATTCCCAGGTGATAAGAAGCAGCCCCTCCCAATCACATTGGATTATATTCATCCCCAAATGCCTGCTTAGCACTTCATTTTTTTGAGTGTGTCTCAAATTATTCATTTAAGAGGTCAAAGCCTTGAATTATACAGCATAGCAGTAAGAAATAATCTCAACTTTTAAAAGACCCCCAAATTCTTATTTCCTTTTTTTTTATTAATGCCTAAACTAAAAATTAATTATAACACACTTTCTTAAAGAAGACAGAAAAATTAAGAAAGTTTTGTTTTCAATCTTCTGCGACATTTAAGAAGATCTTAAAGATTTAAGAATCTCTTTAGTCTGCGAGATTCAAGGTGCACAGGACAAAAACCTGTAAGTCACTTGAATGCGAAACATAAGTATATTATAACCAATTAAAAGAATTTGAAGTACTTTTAGCCCTACAAAATTTCAAACCAGCCAAAGAGTATTTTTCTTCAAATGTAATTATATAGTCAGATTTTGTAATATGCTCCCTTCATCAACACAACTGCAAGGCAATTACTGCCATGTCAAGGGCAAGGGAACTAATGCCATTCAGTGTTAAGCAGCTTGAAGGAGTTCTTACAATAAAAAGCACTATAATTACAGCCTTCTTAGCAAAAGTTTAATGTTACATTAATAATCCTTTATCACCGCGTTTTTGATCCACTGTCCTTAAATCAGAATGAAGCTGAATAAAAATGATGACCGTGAAGTTAGCTTTTAAACTCACATGAGTTATTCAGATAGGTAACATGCAAAGAAATTCTTAAAAAAAACCTGAAATAAGTATATAGTTATCATTACTTGTTAAATTAATTCAAATTCAGCACATTTCTTCTCTTAAAGTAAAAGTTTAGTGTAGGTCTCAGCTAAGCCAGCATTTTTAATTTTCTACCACCCCACCCTTCTGTGGCTGGCATCTGCCATTACTACACCTTTCCTCAATAGTTAGGAAAAGAGGGATATGGCCAAAATACTGGTGAGTAAATTGAATCTTCCACCAGGGAGAATGAGGTAATTATGTCCAAGAGAAATCTGCACATTGATATATGACCCAAGTAACCTCCTGAAGTTGTGCCCCTTGTTGGTAAGTGTATTCCTCCAGAAAAGCAATCCCATGCCAGTGGGTTCATAATACTCCTTTCAGTTCCAAAATGCAATGTCAAATTAGGTGTTAAGTACTGGTTGGTGCTCCCAATGTACTCAAGAGACATTTCTAAGGAACATACTGTTTCTGATCATTAACAGCTAATTAAAGTGCTAAACAGATAAAGAGGAGGACAGAGAGATAAGTAGTCAGTGTTTCTAGCTGTATTCTATATGTTCACAATATCTGAAATATCACTTTGCTACACCTGGTTTTACATTTATGTAAATTTCAAAATTATTAAGCTATATTTAAGTTTTTTAGCAAATGAAACAAAACTAAAGCAATGCTGCAACCCCTCAGAAGCTCTCCTCACCATCTTCTTTTCAGATCTAAAGTGACAGTTAACAGAAAACTAAACACACGATGAATATACACTGATTCAGAAAAAGTGCCCAGAATCACACTTCAGATTCTGCTTTACTGGAGCATCACAGAGAAACAGAATAAACGGAGGAAAATCTCATGTTTAAAATTCCCATTTAAACCAATCACACAGGTAGCTGTAACTGTACTGGTGCTGCCTGGCATCATTAAAAGCCTAGACACTTTAACATACAGTGCTTGGATTTCTTTCACATTTAAATTTCACTTTAAATTTCATTTACTCTTATTCTCTTGTCATTTTAGTATATATCCCAAGGGAAATACAAATTACAGAAGTTTTCTTAAAGCTTTCTATATCTCTGGGCAGTGGCAAAGATGAGCTACAATGAGAATTGTAAAAAAAATGTAAAACTAAACAACTGAACTGTGAAAAGGACAAAGGGGGAGATTGCCTGCAATAGCATCATGACCCAAAGTGCTTCTGAAGCTCTAGAAACTCTTGAAAAAGCTCTACATTACTGAATATTACCTTTCTAGTGCTAATTATAAGTGATGAAGTTAATAATCCTTAACCCTAAAACAGTCTCTTCAATGTTTATGTATTTGAATCACTTATTCCATCTACAGAATTTACTGTTTTCTACCAAATACTTGTAATCTATTTTTAATTGCAATTCTTTAATATGACTATTTCTTGACTTAATTCCACATGGAACCACATTACTAGAACTTTTGTCAATTAGAGAAATATTAAAATTTTGCCAATTATTTCTGGCAAATACACAGATACTTTGAGAAGGAATAGACTGCTTTTACCTTTCAAACAGAATGAGCAGATCCATTTTTTCCTTCTCTTCCACAAAACTACCCATCACAGCTTCTTTTTTCCCTATTCATACAATTCTATGTAAGGCACAGCAAGGAAAGCAGGTCTTGCTTAAGAGCAAGATACCGTTTTTTGCAATAGAGAATCTGAGGTCTTCTGTAAGATGGCTGGAAACACTGTTCATAGCCATGAAAACAAACCCAGGATTTTAATCTAGTTTGACAGTCTGGAACAACACTTAATGGCAAAATGAAGTTACAACACATTCATCAAAAAAGAAATTTCTTTCACCAGACTGTTATTTAATGTAAACACAATTCTGCAGAAATCTCAGCCTAATGCTCCTCTCTCTCTTACACAACAAGAAGATACAAGTAAGGTTCATGTTTGTACCTACTTGGAGAACAGTTTAAATGCACTTATTTACTTTCATGTTACTAAGGAAAATGTTAAGAGCTTGATTTTAAAGACGTTTTAAAACCAAAAGACAGGTAGGAGGGCAGAGGGTACTTTACAAATTTCCTTGTTATAAAGCATTGAAATGTATAGCCAACTGAACTTCTAGCACTGCATACTGTTATTTCAAGTTAGTGTATCAACAAACTGATATATAATTGATTTGTGAGCTGAGCTTTCTTGGGATATTTATTAAACTAGTTGTAATTCTTCCACAAAACATGTCTTACTTTCCAACCTTCAGTGTAAAGGCTTAGAAGATAAACCCTCTGAGCTCTCTCCCTGGAAAGAGCACTAAATTAACTCAGAGGAAATTGGTGTTACTTATTTCAAAGTATCTTTCTGGGAAAAGGAGAATTTTTTAATTTTTTATTTAGTAACAGTTGCAAAATACAATCATATTAATAATTGAACTTCATCAATGTCCTGGTTGAGGAGGACGGGTGAGAATAGCCAATGAACTGAATTGTATGATGTTAATTGCTATATAATGCTGCATATTATCACTACTATGGTTGCTATATGCCATATCAATGGTATCACAGGAAGAATCACCCCAAATTAATGAAGAATGAATTCTGATGAAACTGAACAAAGTGCAGCGATGATAGAACCAGACAAGCGCAGCGGTCATGGAACCGGAACTGGCTTCAGGATGCAACAATCCAACACCACACACCATCTCTCCTGCCCTGACGGACTGTTATGACAGATGGACCCCAAAGTCAAGGACTCAATGAACTCAACAGACATTTTAGAGGGATGACCCATAGACTAAGGGAATGATTCCTGTGTGCTTATATCAAAAGACAGGAAAAGTGGTGGTGATTAATTGGGATGTATTGGAAAGTGTGGGACCTGGGCACGATGTAAATGGCATAGAATAAGGGGTGGGTACTATCTGATTTCAGCTGGGATAGAGTTAATTTTCTTCCTCATAGCTGGCATAGTACTGTGTTTTGGATTTAGGATGAGAATAATGTCGATAACACACTGATGCTTCAGTTGTTGCTGAGCAGTGCTTACACTAAGTCAAGGACATTTCAGCTTCTCATACTGCCCTGCCAGCAAGGAGGCTGGGAGTGCACAAGAAGCTGGGAGAGGACACAGCCAGGACAGCTGACCCATACCGGCCAAAGGGATATTTCATACCATATGAGTCATGCTGAACAAAAAAACTGAGGTGGCAGGAGGAAGTGGCGGCACGCAGCTGCTGCTTGGGAACTGGCTGGGCATCGGTGAGCAATTGCCTTGTGCATCACTTGTTTTGTATATTCTTCTATCATTATTATTATTTCCCCTTCCTTTTCTGTCCTGTTAAATTGCCTTTATCTCAACCCATGAGTTTTACCTTTTTTCTGATTCTCTCCCCCATCCCACTGAGGGGGGAGTGAGCGAACAGCTGTGTGGTGCTTAGTTGCTGGCTGGGGTTAAACCACAACAATCAAGTTTTCCTTTGAATGACCTATCCTTCATTAAGTTTAAACATAAGCATTAAATTTCAATTAATACTAGCATAGCCTTGTTGAGTATGCTCATTTCTCTCATCACTGGAACTGGTAACAGCAGATCCTTTCCTCATTCCCTCGTACACACAACCCACATCCTATCATACCATCGTTAGCATCCTGCCAATGAGTTTTATTGCTTTTGAAACTATTTTGCAGAGTGCACCAGACTGAGGTGCAAGCACGGGCTGCTTTCGAGACTGAAAAGGAAGAAGTAAGAGTTTTGGTAAACATGAAGATCTTCTTGATCTCTTGCTGTCATTTTAACATTTCCAAAATGACAATCCTGCTCTCTTGTTGCAAAAATGGAAAGAACACAAGTAGATGAGGCTAGAAAAGTCGGTTAAAAAAGCATTGAATATCAGAAAGAAAAACCAACCACAAAAAAAACACCAAACAGAACAAATCTAACTTATGCCTCAGTATCTGTGCAAATCAAGTCCTAGCTCCACACCCTGCTTTCCTATTTATGAAACTTTCAGCATCCAGAAGATTGTTCAATGCTGCAACAACATCTAAGGCAGCAGTAAATAGAGATTATGAAGAACTAAAGCAAAAGTGATTTTCATTGCATCTAATTGATACCATCATGCACTTCCTCCATCAAAAACAGTGAATACCATATTATTCAAAAACATCACAATTACTA